ACACACACACACACACACACACATATATATATAATTTATTGTATTTACATCTCTGTACATGATTGTATGAATAAAATATCTATATTCTTCACATGACAATTTGTCTTTTATTGAAAATTTTTTAAAAAACTACTACAAAATAAAAGGACACATTTTTATTGCGGATATTTCAATCAATTGATTAATTAATTAATTAATTGATTTATTTTTTGAAGGCACAAGAAAAAAGTTTAAAGAGGAATAGCTGGAGTTGAACTATGTACCGGTCGGTCCATAAATATATAACTTTGTAACTGAACCAAATTCAAAAACATGAAAATAATTATCAGTAAATGTTACACACCTTATTAATTAATTAGCTAATTAATTAATCAGCTAATTAATTAATTTAATTAATTAATATCGTCAATACTATATCTCCAACTTCAACATGAGGGTAATAAAATCAGTAAATTTTGCTGCAAAAAAGCTTTGTTTACACAAACGCACACATACACAAGCACATACAATACAAAAATACAAACAATCTTTTGTATTTTTTTTGTTGTTTCTTATGCGTCGTGCCATCACCAATCAGTTCCATCTAACCTTCTCTATCGCTATCCTGTGTATGATAATATAATTATTTTCGTTATCATAATTTATTATTATTATTATTGAGGTTTATATCTATTATTATTATTTAAATCATCAGAATAACCGTTATTATTATTATTAAAAATAAACAAAGTCAGAAAATCTTAAAATCAAAGAGTATGATTAAAAATAAAACCCCAGACATCAAAGAAAAAGTTGATATCTGTTTCTCTATCTCCTTCTTTGAGACCATCATCATCATCCTTTTCCTCTTTACCACCACCATCATCATCATCATCGTCGTCGTCATTATCATCCTCACACTCCATATAATCATCGTCGTCGTCATCACCATCTGGATTAGTGGTTTTCTTCCCGTCATTAACTTGTTTCTTCCTCTTAGAACCACCACCATCGTCGTCATCATCGTCATCATCATCGTCATCATCATCGGCATCGGCAATCTTTTCATCATCGTCGTCGTCGTCGTCCCCTGTGGCCGCTTCATCATCTTCATCATTTCTGAGAATTTGTGAGGATATCTCATCGCCCTGTGAGTGGTCGTGGCGATGGTGATCATAATTTCAAAGTTTTCAAAAGTTTTATTCATAATCAACAACATATCAAATAAGTGAATAAAAGTTATGAAGTTATTATAATAATAATAATAATAATAATGAGATAATCAATCAATCAATCTTCGTTTTGCGTCCAGAGTCCCGGTTAGGGTTAGTAATAATAAAATAATAATAATAATAACAATTTTATTAAAATAATCAACCTTGGAATAAATAGCGTAACTCTGAAAATAACCCATACACATACAGACGTATTAATACGTACACACACAGACACACACACACACACACACACACACACACACACACACACATTCACTAACACATACACTCACACACACATTCGCACGCATATACGCACACACACACAGAGGTACACAGACATAGACAAACCAACGGGCCTAAAAATAGAAACATCAAAGAACAACCGACTTTCAAATCTCGATTCTTGAGATTTCCGAGCCAAAAGGCGCCAATACATTTGTTGACGTTCAGCATGGCCTTGACCCTGTGAAGGAAACATTCGAGGGTGCGCTTCAACGGAGGAACCTGATTGGTCAGCGAGATGTCCTTCACAATCTAAGTGGGAGGAGTTAAAAGATATCGTTGAATGAAATGATTGGATGGGTTTGAAATCTTGACATCATTAAGATAATTACACACACACACACAAACGCACGCACATACGCACACACACACAAACTTAAATTGATCATGAAAAAGATGATCACACACACCACACACACACACACAAACACACATACACACACAAACACACACGCACGCACATAAGCACACACACACAAACTTAAATAGATCATGAGAAAGATGATTACACACACACACACACACGCACACACACAAACTCTAATAGATCATGAAGAAGATGATCACACACACATACACACACACACAAACACACACACACAAACCTTGGAGTGGCTGCAGAGATAGTGCAGAGACCTGGTGGAGAGCTGGAGAGTCTTAAACATGCTCTGTATGTCATCCTTGTTCTGCGCAAGTAGTAGATCCAGCATTGGCATGCACTGACGTAAGAAGCAGTCCACAAACATTCGACCGTGCTATCCGGAAGTCAGTGCATGGATAGATGCATGAATGGGTGCATGGATGGGTGGAAAGAAAGTAGGTGAAATAATGAGTGAGTGATTGATTGAAAGGGTAGATTGATAAGTAAGTGGATGAATGATAGATAGATTGATTGAAAGGGTAGATTGAAAAGTAAGTGGATGAATGATAGATTGATTGATTGAAAGGGTAGATGTTCGACCGTGCTATCTAGGAGTCAGTGCATGGATGGGTGCATGATTGGGTGCATGGATGGGTGGAAAGAAAGTAAGTGAATATATGAGTGATTGATTGATTGATTGATTGAAAGGATTGAAAAGTGAGTAAATGAATGATATATTGATTGATTAAAAGGGTAGATTGAAAAGGGACAGATGTATGGATGGGAAATGAATAATGAATGAGTGTATGAATGAATGAATGAATGACGAATAAAGTAAATGAATGAATAGATTGAATTAATTAATTGATTGATTGATTAATTGACTGATAGAAAGTTGAATGGAATAACAAGTGAATGAATAGATTAATTCATTGCATCATTCATGCATTCACTTTTAGAGCTGACATCAAGTTGCATCTTGAATCAAACGTCTGAGTGGGGATTTAAAATTTTTTATTCCCGATAAAAAAAATCTTCAAAAAATTTTTTTTAAATGTTTTAAACGAATTAAACAAATGGATAAACAACAACAACAACAACAACCACAACAACAACTATAAAACAACAACAACCACCACCACAACAACAACAACTATAAAACAACAACAACAACCACCACAACAACAACAACTATAAAACAACAACTATAAAACAACAACGAAAACTATAAAACAACAACAACAACAACGACAACTTTAAAACAAACAACAACAACATCAACAGCAATAACAACCACCACCAAAACAACAACAACTATAAAACAACAACAGTAACAAAAACTATAAAACAACAACAACAACGACAACTTTAAAACAACAACAACATCAACAACAAACAACAACAACAATTACCGCAACATTTCCTACCTTAATTAAGTTGATAAGGGCATGGAATATCTTAACGCAGGCAGACCAGTTTAGCAGCTTTTCGACGTTTTCCTTATAAGTTGGATGGGGGTTGGAAATAATAATAATAATAAATAACAATAATAAATAATAACAACAATAATAATAATAATAACGATAATAATAACAACAATAATAATAATAACAATAATAATAAATAATAATAAATAATAATAATAATAATAATAACAACTATAATAATAAGTAATATTAGTAATAATAATAACAAAATTAACATCAACGCCAATAACAATAGAATGTTGCCAAAGTAACAACAGTAATCACATCAACTACACAACATCACCATCATCATCAATAATCCCATCATCATCATCAATAATCCCATCATCATCATCACCACCATCACCATCAATAAAAACATCATCACCACCACCACCTTCATCATCAATAATATCATCATCATCACCATCATCATAATCAATAATATCATCATCATCATCAACAACATCATCATCACCACTACCATCATCATCAATAATATTATCGTCATCATTATCACCACCATCATCATCATCATCATCATCATCATCAGCAACATCTCTAGGAGCATGCGCAGATCCAGCAGTCAGTGTTTTGGCCTGGTTGTTCAGCTGGCACAACAGCATGTTGTAAAAGAGCGGGAAGGTACCTCTGTTCGATCAATCAATCATTCATTCGTTCGTTCATTCGTTCATTCATTCGTTCATTCATTCATTCATTCAATCATTCATTCGTTCATTTATTCAACCAACCAACCAATAGACTGAAAATTAGCTCCATCAAATCATCAAGCATGCATTTAAAAATTCCATAAGCCTATAATTTCTATAAGTAAACTAGCCAATCAATCAATCAATCATTCAATTAAACAAACAAAAACCAACCACCAACCAACCAGTCAACCAATCAACCAACCAGTCAACCAACTAACTGACTTATTCATTGTCGGAAATGTATCAGACTGATGCTCCGACTCGATGAATTCAATAATTGCAGATGATATGAACGTTTCGAGAAGGGATTGAATGTTAGTTGCATGATCGAAACACGATCTGTGGTTGATTATTATCAATCAAAATTATTTCAGCAAGAACAATCGACAAATCAACCAACCAACCAACCAACCGACCGACCGACCATCGATCGATCTATCAATCAATCAATCAATTAATCAATCAATCAATCAATCAATCAATCAATCAATCAATCAATCAATCAATCACTCAATCAACCAATCGACCAACGAGCCAACTGACCTGAGGATGAATTGTAGATGTTCATTGAAGTCTGATTTTTTCTTCTCTTCAGGCCATCTCCTTTTCAACAAGTTCAAACATATCCGACCTACATCATCATCATTATCATCGTCATCATCATCACCGTTATCATTATCATCATCACCATCATCATCATCATCATCACCATCATCATCACCATCATCATCATCACCATCATCTCTTCTTCGTCATCATCAACCCAAATATCATCATCATAATCAGTAGCATCATCATCTCGAATAAAACTGACCAGTGGCCTCATTTAAGGACGCCACCTTGCTTGCTTGGGCCAGGCAGCTAAGCAGCTTGACCAGTTGTACAGCTGCTGTTAGGGAGGGAAGGGTTGCCTCAAACTTTTCAACGTACTTGTAGGCGTTCCTTGACGAGTTTGGTGGTTGAGTGAGTGATTGGTTGGTTGGTTGACTGATTGATTGGTAGGTTGATAGATGGGTAGATTGATTTTCGATCGATTAACTTTTTATCATCACAAACCGGAACAATAGTGCTTGGGTTGATTGCGACAAAATGACGTCATCCTGACATATTCGAGAGGCCAGTGATTGGAGAGAGGATGAGAGGAGTTGGACGTTTGATGACGCGTGCAATTCGCGCCTAAATCACGTGATGAAAATGATTGGTTGCACTGTAGCCAATTGTCATCCACAACATTATCATCAGCATCATCATCATCATCATTTACATCATCATCACAATCTCAAAATTTTCAACAAACCAAGAAAAATAAACAAAGAATATTTGCAAGATGGCTGTCATAGCGTCCGTCATCATCATCATTTCTTCCATATCTCTCGTCTCTGATTGGTTGTCGTTGCTGTCCAATGAGCACGTCTCGTCTGCCTTTTCTGACGCTAACTATGGTGATGATGATGATGAGTGTAGTGATGATGATAATGATGATAATAATAATAAATAATAATAATAAATAATAATAATTTGAAGATAATCACCTGGAAATAGGTACTCAAAGATTCTAAATACCTACAGAGATGTGGGAGCAAGCTGTCCACCTGATAACGATGATGATGATGGTGGTGGTATTGATGATGATGACGACGATGGTGGTGGTATTGATGACGATGGTGGTGGTAATGATGATGATGATAATACCGACGGTAATGAGAGTAATTTAAAATATCTTTTTTATTAAAATAATTAATTTTTTTTAAAATCGCTTGGTGATTAACTTTAATGGACTGACTGACCTGTTGGCCGAATTCCTGGCAGCCAATGGCGTTCAAGTTTCTAAATAGATGTTCCTTGGAGTTTTTGGGCTTGAAAAAGAATCATTATCATCAACACCATCATCATCGCCATCATCATCATCATCATCATCATCATTAATAATAATGATATCATCATCATTATCATTAATAATAATGATATCATCATCATTATCCTCACCGCCCATTATCATCGTCATCATCATCATTACCACCACCACCATAATCAGCACTATTATCATCACTATTAGTTTCACCATCATCATCATCGTCATCGACACCATCATCATCAACAACAACACCATCAGCATCATCATCAACAACAACACCATCAGCATCATCATCAACAACAACACCATCAGCATCATCGTCATCACAACCTTAAAAAACGGCATCACCGCCTTGACCCTGTTGACTCCTCCCACCAGCGTCTGATTGGCCTTCTTAAGTAGGTCATCCAATAGGAAGGTCAAATCGTGAACCGATATTGTCAGCGTTATCTGTATTTAAATAATAACAATATAAACATTAAATAATAATATTAATAAATAATATAAATTATACTAAATAATAATAACAACAATATAATAATAATAATAAAAAGAATAACAAGCAGAGCAAATACAATAGCAAAATGGCGAAACCTTGGGCGAGTGATCCAATTGTTTGTTGGAGAGTTTAGTGTAAGATAAAAGAGTGAAGACTTTGGTATCCATCTCCCTGTCACATATTCATTCATCCATCCATCCATTCATTCCTTCATTCATTCATCCATTCATTCATTCATTCATTCATTCATTCATTCATTCATCCATCCATTCATTCATTCATTCGTATTCATATATGTAATTATAAATAAATCGCATTGACAGCGACCACGTAAACACACACACACATAAACACACGCACGCACACACATACGTACACACACAAACAAATAGAAAGTCTTCCAATGGTATACAAAAAGGTTTTACAAGGAGAACCTGAAATACTCTCCCAAAGCTGTTAAGTTGATGTTGTTGTTGGCCGATGGTTTTATCGTCGTTGTTGTTGTCGTTGTTGTTGTTGATGATGGTTTTGTTGAAGGGATTGCGCCTGTCTGAAAAGTTAAGGTGTTTCATTTATCACCATCATCATCATCACCGTCATCACCATCATCATCATCACTACCACCACTATCATCATCACCACCACCATCATCATCACCATCATCGTCGTCATTACCACCATCATCATCATCATCATTATCATCACCATCATCATTATCATCATCATCATCATCATAAACAATGTAATGGCATAAACATCATCATCATCAACAACAAAATAATAATAATAATAATAATAATCATCATCATCATACTTATCAGAACTCACTTCATTTAGTTTACTGACGTTAGCCCCACTATCATCATCATCATCATCACCACCCTCATCACCATTATCATTACCATCATTACCGCCTTCGTCATCATTATTTCTTTTTCTTTTTTTGCCTTTGTTCTTGTCATTCTTAGCTTTCCTGGGAAGGGAAAGAATGAACGACTGAATGAATGAGAGAACGAATAAGCAATGAATAAATGATTGAATAAAGTAGGACGAGATAGGACGTTGTTTTCCTTGCCATCAATTTTTTGCGCCAAGTTTAAGTGAATTAATGCGCAAATAAATGACGAAATGCGTGAATGAATGCTTGAATGAATGAATGAATGAATGAGTGAATGAATGGGTGAATGAATGAGTGAATGAATGAGTGAATGAAAAAAAGTATGAATGCGTGAAAGGATGAATGAAATGAAACAAATAGAAATTCTTCTAACTTAATTTTCTTCACTTTGGCAGTCTTGGATGATTTAGTCTTTTTGTTGTTGGTGGTGACCAAAGATACTGTTTGTGGTTTTGTTTCCGGATTCTGGTAGCAGTCGCACATCGGTGGGACGTAATCCGGGATGTCTGTTTTTGTTGTGATTGTTATTGTTGTAATTGTTGTTGTTGTTGTGTTGTTGTAGTTGTTGTTGTGTTTGTTGTTGCTGGGTTGTTAAATGTATTACGCTCGTTGAAGCTTTCGTTGTTTTCGGATTTTCAACCATTCATCGCTCATTCAATCATTCAACCATTCACGCATCTATCTCAATCAGTGAATCATCCATACATACATATATGCATTACTCAATGAGTCATTCATTCATTTATCTATTCTATCCATCGACCCATTCACCCAACATATGATACATTTATCAATAAATCAACCAACCAACCAACCATCCAACCAACCAACCAACCAACCAACCAACCAACCAACCAACCAACCAACCAACCAACCA